ATTTATACGGTGTGAACATGAGCAAGCTCCCTCGCTGAACTGTAGTTTTCAATCTGTAATAAAAGGATAATAATATCCACCCCAAAGGGTTGATTTGAGGAGGAAAAAGTAATATCCTCTGAAAATTATTTTTAAAAAAGTGAGGTCTATGATGTTAAGATTTTTCCCTCTTTCCCAATAAACGGCGGGATTTACTTAAAAGTTTTAGAACAGGGAAGTAATCTGAACAGGTTTAGAAGAACAACTCTTGCATGGGTCTGAAAATAGATTAGCCAGCTGTGAGGGGACTTGGAGGGGAGAGGAATCAAGGACGGCCTTTAGGGCACTTGCCTCACCTCAGACTTTCCATAATCCTCCCAATTAGTGATTTCTTGGTTTTGTTTTGTTTTTGAAGAGACACATGGGGAGGTGGTGGTTCTGACAGTTTGCCAGAAAGTGTTTTCTCTCCTTAGAATAGAAAAATATTAACATCGATTGTCCAGTTAATCCCTCTAACTTTTCCCTAAAATATCAATTTACCTGAAAATTTACAACTGAAAGATCACTTCAGTAAGGCTATGAAGGATGGTATTTATATACAACAAATCTTTTTGACTAGTTGAGGAAAATATAGATGAAATCTTGAATTTAAAGTGAAATGAAGTCCAGAAAATATATATTTTCATGAATGTTTTTCAGGAAATTATATTTACTCAGCTAAAATATGTTTAAAGTACTTTCAATTTTCGATAAGGATTTTGCTCTTGAAAAGAACCAACCTGTAATTTAACAATGAAACCCAAGGTCCTTGAGTTGGTTATTTTCCATAAAGCCAGGTTTCAGTGGTTCTCTAAATTTAATTAGCCTATAGTAAAGTTATTAAATGGATCACACTTATTTTAGGTATAAAATCTACTGGAAACAGTCATATGTATGGGGAAATAAAAGAAACTAGACATTAAATTTACGAAGACCTTTGGAAGTGACATTGGTAAATTGTTTTGCAACTAGCTGTGTTGTCATGTTATAACAAATAAAGGATGGGATTTGTTCTAGGATGTATTGATCAAACTAAAACCATTGCTAAAGACTCTTTTGTTCAAAAGACCAAATAGAGATCAGCAAAGCTCCTGGACCAAGTTCAAGCGAGGGTTGAGAGTGGCTCTCAGGCCCCTTCAGAGCTGTGTCAGTTACAGAAGAGTCAAGTTTGTTGGTCTCTATTTCACCCAAGAATCTTCCGTTAGACAACGAAAGCGGTTGTTTGCTGTCTTTGGCAGCATTTCATTCAGTTGCTAAGGAAAATATGTCAGTCCAACACAGTCGCCTAAAACCATCTGTAGACAACTAAAAGGCCATAGGAGCGGTTTCAGTGACAGGTTTCTAAGTAAAGGTAAAAGCCCCCAAAGGTGTTACCATAGTCTAGTTTTTTTTTTTTTTTTTTTAAATATATTTTATTAGGGAGGAGGGCCAAAACCGGTTTGGCTCAGTGGATAGAGCATCAGCCTGCGAACAGAAGGGTTTCAGGTTCGATTCCGGCCAAGGGCATGTACCTTGGTTGCAGGCATATCCCCAGTAAGGGATGTGCAAGAGGCAGCTGAATGATGTTTCTCTCTCATTGATGTTTCTAACTCTCCCTTCCTCTGTAAAAAAAAAATAAAAATATATATATATATATATATATATATATATATATATATATATTTAAAATATATATATTTTATTGATTTTTTTACAGAGAGGAAGAGAGAGGGAGAGTTAGAAACATCGATGAGAGAGAAACATCAATCAGCTGCCTCCTGCACACCTCCCACTGGGGATGTGTCCACAACCAAGGTACATGCTCTTGATAGGAATCGAACCTCAGGACCCCTCAGTCCACAGGCCAACGCTCTATCCACTGAGCCAAATCGTTTTGGCAGTCTAGGTTTTCTTATGAGAAACATGTATATTGGCAAGACAGACAAGCAAACAAGCCCCGAAATAAAAGCCCAAGGGCCAGGAGAGACCTGGTCTTTGCTGCCCTCCACCCCCACCCCCAACTCCTCAGGAGGCATTTTCATCTGGTCTCAGATATGTTTGTTTAACACACATGTCTGCAAGCCAGCTTCATAGACATACTTTAGGACAAAATTTAACACGATAGCAGAACGAGCTGGAAATTCTGGTTTCAGCTGGATATGCGCAGGGTTCCCCGTTCCCAAACTGCAAAATGTGTTTGCTTTCTCCTATCAGCGCCTCAGACTAAATCTGTTCCAAACTGAACTCTCTCCTCTGTCTCCGCTGCTTTGTCTCCTCGCTGCCTCTCAGGCCTCAGCAGCCTCCAGCCCTGCTCGCTCCCCTCCGGTCCGCATTCATAGTGCTGCTCTTCAGATGCTTGGCTAGCAGAGAGTCCCTGCACCCCGGGTCCACCCTCAGCCTGGCATCCAACGAGGGACACCCTCTTCCGTAAAGAAGTAGTTATGGGAGGTGTATTCGGTCCCACGGCGGGTAGCTTCTATCTTTGGCGTCATTATAAAGAACAATGAAAGTCTGAACTCTGAGGTAATATTATGGATCATAAAAGTTGCCCACACCTGCGGGTTGGGGAGAAATCTGGCTGGAGCATCGTTGTGCATTTTTCCTTCCCTCCCTTGCTTACACTGCCATCATACTCAGGGTTTTCCCACTGCCAGCCTGTGGGAAAACCCACTACCACCATAGTTCAGGCTAGTCCCACATTGTAGTCCCCCCTGGGGTCCGCTCAGACATACACCCACACCCAGAGTGCTCCTTCTCCACTCTCCCAGGCACACCACCAGCCGCTGCCTTGAAGAGTCACTTGGCTTCTGTCTTAACATCCCCCAAAGTTCAAAGGCATCTGGGCAGGAGTCAGGCCAGTCACTTTTTCTGTTCCTACTCACCCCGAAGTACACTGCTTTCACTAGAGAAAAAGCTGTTTAACACTGATGAACATTTTTCTCTATCGTGTGTGTCTTCTCAGCTTTATTGAGGTCTAACCGACAAATGAAGGGTGAGATGTGTAAAATGTGCATAGTGGTGGCTTGAGGTGCCCTGTGGGAGGGTTCCTCCCACCCACTTAATGAACACGTCCACCCCCGACGCCGATGTGGTAAGCCTGCCCAGTCGCATGGTCAGTGGCCATGAGAAAGAGTGACCAGGTGGATCGGAGTGACCAGACTCTGCCTCTGTGAATGGAATTCTAATCGAGTTAACAGAGAAGGGCTTTCCCAGGCGGTCCTCTCCCAGGTGCAGTGGCTGTGGCTTGTCTCCTCTGGTGGTGCCATCTCATTGGCAATCTAACAAACTCGCTGCCATTCTGCTGCAAGGAAAACTGCAACCTGGGAACATTTACCACAAACCATACTGTTAATGGGAGAGCTATGGAAGTCTTAGTTCCACTAAGGACTTCCTTCTTTTTTTTTTAATATATTTTATTGATTGTTCACAGAGAGGAAGGGAGAGGGATAAAGAGTTAGAAACATCTATGAAAGAGAAACATCGATCACCTGCCTCCTGCACATCCCCTACTGGGGATGTGTCCGCAACCAAGGTACATGCCCTTGATCGGAATTGAACCTGGGATCCTTCAGTCCACAGGCCGACGCTCTATCCACTGAGCCAAACCGTTACGCCTTCTTCCTTTCCTTTCCTTTCCTTTCCTTTCCTTTCCTTTCCTTTCCTTTCCTTTCCTTTCCTTCCCTTCCCTTCCCTTCCCTTCCCTTCCCTTCCCTTCCCTTCCCTTCCCTTCCCTTCCCCTTCCCCTTCCCTTCCCCTTCCCCTTCCCCTTCCCCTTCCCCTTCCCCTTCCTCTCCCTTCTTCCTTCCTTCCTTCCTTCCTTCCTTCCTTCCTTCCTTCCTTCCTTCCTTCCTTCCTTCCTTCCTTCCTTTCCTTCTTCCCTCCCTCCCTCCCTCCCTCCCTCCCTCCCTCCCTCCCTCCCTCCCTCCTTCAGTCCCTCCCTCTTTCTCTCTCTCTTTCTTTCTACCGCTCTCTCTTTCCTCCTTCCCCCCTCTTTCTTTCTTTTAAAGAACTTTGTGAAATGTAAGCATTGAGTTGACTCTGGCTTGGGTAGGTGGCCATGTTGCTGTAAAATCAAAAGCCGTTGTCAAGGCCAAGGCATTCAGACGTACAGTGGATGCTTGTAGATGACTGCTTGGATGGGATCCAAGAAAAGCTGCCTCCTGTCTGAGTTTGAACCGTGCAAAGGCCTACCAAGGGCCGTACAGTCCGGTGAACATGGGTTCCATCTTCAGCCACAAACTGTGGGGCTGCTCACCTGCTCTGTGCTTGAGTTTTAGGGTCTGGGGTCTGACCATTACGTTGTCTCAGCGGAGCTGCACACCCTTGGACAATATATGTTCTTTCCCTGTGACCGGTAACTCATCTTAAAAAAGGCTTAACCCTAATATCCACTTCATAATCTTGTTTTAGTTAATGAGTTTAGACAAGGGGAACACTTAGCACAGCTCTTAAGAGAACGCACGTGTTTCAAGAGAGGCCATGGCTGTTAGTAACCATCAGGCCCATTTCCCGCAGCCTCGCTGGGAAAGCTAAGTGAGATCACCTCCCCAGGAGGCCCCACAACCAGGGGAGCCCAAACCCAAGGAAAAAGCACTGCTCTGGGTCCCCGGATCAGCAAGACCTTCAGTCCTCAGCGCCCTTACCCCCTCCTCCCGCTCCTCCAACCGCACAGGCTGCGGCCCACGAAGCTGGCCCTGGAGCTTGGAGCAGAAGCGCTTGCACACAGCAAGTGCTGCATAACTGCTCCTCCACCTCCCCGTCCACACGCTCGCGGCCCCCCGCCCCCCGACGCCAGCGGGATGGATGCTCCGCGGAGACCACCTCCGCCCGCCGTCCCCGGGGCGCCCTGGCGAGTCCGCCCTCAGCCACGATGGGGCCCGGAAGCGAGGAGACACCCCGGGAGGCCCGGGGTCGCCCCCGGGGACGTCTCAGGGGCGGAAGGCGGCGCCCGGTGTGTACCGGTTGCCCCGGGAGACGCGCCGGCGTCGCTCCGGAGTCGGCGGGCCCTGGGCCGGCGGCATGAGCACCGGCCGCGGAGCCTCCGCGGGCCGCCCCGGGCGCCTGCACCCCGCCGGCGCCGCCGCGCCCGCGCCCGAGGTACGGCCAGCGGGGCGGGGTGGGGCCCCGCGCGAACTTCGGGGGTTCCCGCCGGCACGTGGGCTGGGGTTGCAGCGGGGGTTCAGGGGCCCATCCTGGGAAGTTGGGGCTGGGCCTGGGTCTGTGGAGCGCGTCTGAGCGTAGGTTGTACCGGTTTGCTTCTCTGACCTTTCATTTGAACAGCGTGCCCCTTCCCTATAGACCCTCCCAACCCCCTGTCTCTCCTCTCCCCTCCCCGCCCCATAGCAAACAACACTTTCATTTACCTTAGTATCTCAGTTAGTACTTAGCTACTAACACATGACTTAGAGCGATTTCTTTAAAATCGGATGGGGCAGGGTTAACCTCAGTCCTGAGCCAGGTCTCTGGTCCTCTTGGTTGCTGATCACTCCAGGCATTTTTAAAAAAAATATATTTTATTGATTTTTCACAGAGAGGAAGAGAGAGAGAGATAGAGAGTTAGAAACATCGATGAGAGAGAGACATCCATCAGCTGCCTCTTGCATACCCCCCATTGGGGATGTGCCCGCAACCAAGGTATATGCCCTTGCCCGGAATCGAACCCTGGACCTTTCCGTCTGCAGGCCGACGCTCGAGCCAAACCGGTCCCGGCGACGCCAGGCATGTTGTTAATTCAGTCGCCATTGGATTCATTTACTCATTAATTCCCCAGGAGGTACTTAGGGTACTTTGCACGAGCACACACACACACATTCCTGGCTCAGCCTGTGTTATAACACACACACACACACACACACACACACACACACACACACACACGGCTGGCTCAGCCTAGGTTAGCATCCCCTTCTGGACGTGGCATCAGGATCCCGTCAAGCACAGAGTGTGTCAGTGGTGGTGGCTGGAGAGAGGGGAGCTGTGTTCAGCTGAATTTCTAACGCGGAGATGCTCTCAGCTTAGCCTCACTGACCACAGAAATCCCTGGGGCCACCCTTATGTTCAGAACATGGAGTGGGTTCTCCAGCCTGCTACAGGACTTCTAATATTCTGCTGTGAATGTTGCCTTAGTGTCATCTGCTCTGCGTGCAGATTTCTCTGATTCTTGGCATGTTTGTGGAAACCTAATACTGTCTTGTACAAATGAAACTAATTTTTCTTCCATTTTATATGTGCATATTTTATCCCAATGTGGTGTCCTCTGTGAGTAAAGAATGTTAGCTCATGCATAATTATGTAGTATTTTTATATTATTTACCAGAGGCCTGGTGCATGAAATTCATGCACAGGGGGGATTCCCTCAACTCAGCCCGCACCCTCTCCAATTGGGGAACCCTCTCAGAATGTCCACTGCCATTTTAGGCCTGATGCCAGGGATTGGGCCTAAACTGGCAATCAGGCATTCCCTTCGCAATCTGGGACCACTGGCTCCTAACTGCTCACCTGCCTGCCTGCCTGATTGCCCCTAACTGCTTCTGCATGCCAGCCTGATAACCCTAACTGCTCTCTCCTGCAGGCCTGATGTCGCCCCTAACTGTTCTCCTCTGTTGGCCAATTTGGTCTGATTGGTCAGTTCCTATGCCAGTGTCAAAAGCTTCATCTCCTAAGCAGCCATTGGCTCCCCACAGCACCCAGATTTGGTTCTCATTGGTCGGTTCCTATGCTAGTCAGCGTCAGAAGCTCTGCCTCTTAGGCAGCCATTGGTTGGTTGGTTCCTATGCCAGTCAGAATCTCCAGGCCTATCACTGGCCTGATCAAAGAGGCAGGGAGAGAAAGAAAAGCCTGGCTGCTGGCGAAAATCAGAAAGAGGGAGAGAGGAAAGTACACTGATGAACAGCTTCCACTGAGGCTGCAGATCAGACCCTGACTCACTTTCTGGGTCTCAGCCACGTGAGCAGTTAGTGTTGGGTCACTAGGTTGCAGCGGGGCAACCCAGAGCTGACTTGCAGATGGTCTGTGTTTGGTGGCACACTAGGCCCCTTCCCAAGCCCCAGGCTCGGTCTCTCCGATGGCTGGTTGAGAGTGACTTGGGTGCCAAGAAGGTTCTGGGGACCCAGGTATGTATGCAAATTAACCTCCATAATTGTTGGGTTGATTTGCATATTCACTCTGGTTGTGGGCAGGAGGTACAGTCAATTTACATATTTCTTTGTTATTAGGTAATAGATTTGTTTGGAAAATCAATTGAAAGTAAATTACAGGCATCGTGGCCCTTTATCTCTAAATATTCTAGTGTATTTTTCTTAAAATACACAATATAATGATCAAATTTAGGATGTTTAGCCTTGTTGCAATAATGCCATTTACTGCAAATTCTTTTATTCATTTCTGGATCAGACTTTGTACTTCATTGTTATGTATCTTTAGTTTCTGTAAACCTGGAGTAGCCAGTCCCGCCACCTTTCTTTGTCTTAAATGACACTGGTAGGTTTGCAGAGTCTGGTCACTAGTTTTGTAGACTGTTTTTACCTGATTGTTTTCCATGTTTCGATTTTGGGAAGAGTACTACGTATGTGATGTGGCTTATGAAGTGCATCACACCGGGAGGCACCTGCTGTCAGTGGTGTCCTCTGTGAGTAAAGAATGTTAGCTCATGCATAATTATGTAGTATTTTTATATTAAATGTTGGTGATGTTTCTAGTGAGTTCTGTCTGCCAGAGCGTTTCACTGTAAATGTGGAAAAAGAAGTTTTAGCACTGAATAAGTGACCATGTTGCATAATTTTGTAGTTTCATATTGATATTTTTAGGACACATTTCACTGCCTACATAAAGGAAAATATCCACCACACCCAAGATTTCAATTGACCTGGAAGACCTAAATATTATTGAGAATAAAAGTACAAGCAGAAAGGCCACCGTTGACTACTTTCCCAGGTTGGAAAGTAACTTCACCTGAGACAGTCTTATAAGTCATGGGGGCAAGACAGGAATTTCCCATTATGTGGATGATGAAATTCTTGCTTAATTAGCTAATGATGGAGTGGGGACGTTAACATCTTTCTTTTGAAAGTTTAATACTTTTCCTGCCACTCCATGATGCACTGAAAAACATTAAAATTCAAAACAGGGGTATATGTAACTCTATGAAGAAGTAAAGTACTGCAGGGACTTATTCTTGGGTTCAAGCAATCTAGTGATATCACTTATCTGTGTGACACCTTGGGTAAAATAATTTCATGTCTCAGAACTTTAGTGTCTTCTGAAAATGGGATCATCATATGTATCACTAGTGTAGTTTAGGGACTTCACAATTAAATGTAAAGCACCCATAGAGTGATGGAAAAGTGCTTATTAATATTTGCTATTATTATTCTTTAATATATATATTTTTAATATACTTTATTGATTTTTTTACAGAGAGGGGGAGAGACAGAGAGTTAGAAACATCAATCAGCTGCCTCCTGTACTCCCCCACTGGGGATGTGCCCACAACCAAGGCACATGTTCCTGACCAGAATCAAGCCTGGGACTCTTCAGTCCACAGGCTGATGCTCTATCCACTGAGCCAAACTGGTTTTGGCTAAAAATATTTTTTATTGATTTCAGAGAGAAAGGGAGAGAGAGAATCATTGATTGGCTGTCTCCTGCATGCCCCATACTGGGGATCAAGCCTGTAACCTGGGCACGTGTATTGACAGGGAATTAAACACCAACCTCCTGGTTCATAGGTCTTCAGATAGAGTCACTATAAGGATACAAATTAAATTTCTATTTTATAATAATAAAAATTTTCATTCATAAGAAAGTTGTAAAAATTCTAAATGTATATGCGCATAAAAATACAGCCCCAAAATATATAAAATAAAAATTGGCAGAAGCAAAAATCTATAAAGAGATATAGACAAATTCATAATCAGAGCAAAACATTTTTTTAAAAAACACTTCAGTTACTATCTGATAGCCAGATAAAAATTTGTAAAGGGAAATAGTAAAAGAGCTAAAAATACAAGTGTGGTTAAGCCATGGTGAGGAAGAAAAGTACATGAAAAGTTGGGAATAAGGCTATAAAAATTAAGAGGATGACATGTCCCCCTTGCCCAAGGAGATAAATACCTTTAGACTATGAACTAATAATTATTTCCACAAAATCCTACGAACTGTGCTTTATTGGTTGGGATTGAACTAGTAATTAGATGTTTTCCCCTCGTCTTCCTAAAAAAAAGAATAACATGTTAATTGACGGTACCTTCATGACACCCCTCAGCTAACCAGGAGTGAGTATGCAAATTAACCCAACAAAGATGGGGGTTAATTTGCATATGCAGGCATTGCGTGGCCGGGGGCAGGTGTTCCGCACCACTCCAGCCCTCTGGGCCTCTAGGCAGTGTGGGAAGGCGGGAAGGTGGCTCTGGGCCAGAGCGAAGGCCAGTCGGCAGCCAGGGCAAGGAAGGCCCATTCTTGCAGGAATCTTCGTGCAGCCAGTCACTAGTTTTAAGTAAAAAAGGGCTCTAAGCTATCCAAAATAAATGACGACCATCTAACCATGAGGAAACACTAGACCAGTGTTTTTCAACCTTTTTTGGGCAAAGGCACACTTGTTTCATGAAAAAAATCACGAGGCACACCACCATTAGAAAATGTTAAAAAATTTAACTCTGTGCCTATATTGACTATATACAATATAAAGTAATTCTCTTGAATAGGAATCAAATAAACACAAAGAATTTTATAATTACTTTATTATGAAATATTAAGTAAACAAAATAGTGAAAAATTATAAAATTCTTGTCTTGTCTGCACCTACGGCACACCAGGTTGAAAAACGCTGCACTAGACAAACCCACCTTGCAGGATTTTCTACAAATAAACTCTGCAAAGTGTCAAGGTAGCGACTGGAGGAGACATGACAACTCAGTGCACTGTGGAGTTTAGATGGACTCCTGGGCCAGAAAAAGGACATTAATGGGAAAACTGGTTGGATTTGAATAGGTCTGTAGTTCAGTTAATAGCATTGTGCCAACGTTAATTTCCTGGCTTTCATAAACGTCCCTTAGTCATGTGAGTTATTAACATCAGGGGCCGCTGGAGAGGGTGCAGTA